TTTCGGAAACTGGCAGTAGTAGGCTCTCCTCTGAGATCTCTGACCTCACTAGCCACATGATGTTGACTAGATTTACACCATCAGGCATGAGTTCCTTCCTGTCAAGCGGGCTTTAAATACGATTAGATGCTAGTTGCAACCAATACATAAATGCCATCATTACACTTTCAGGGATACCATTCAGTGCTGATCACTGTTGTGGTTCACAGACATCACAGTAAAAACCAGAAAATTTGAAACATGATTTAAAAGCCATGTGTAGTTTTGCCTTCACTTTTGTTGATCTCTTCAGCTGCTAGAGCTGATGTGGAGAAATCTAAGCAATGCTAGAAGTCACGCCTAGATCTATGGAGGCAAGGGACTTGCTGCCCTGGGCAGAACAGAGTAGAGCCCAGATGGTGGAACTGTCTGCATGCTCAGGATGACAGGGCCTCTGGTCAGTCCTTCAATAGCTCTTTTGAGGCAATGCCTACCTCTGGGTGGGGTGCATGAACAGATAGGTCTCAGGGTGACTGGGTATAGGAGTGATAGGTGCTAAGGACAGGCCTCAGGGGCCTTTAGTAACCTCCCTCATTTTGATTTCTAATGGCTAGATCCCAAGTCACCTTAAAAAAGCCCATCCTCCAAACAAGTGATACAAACACACGTGATACACACGGTACACTCACACACATATTTGGTACATACATACATACATACACACACACACACTCCATCCTCAAGGAGATGTCCATGCAAGGCTCTTCTAGGAGAAAATGTAGTAATTTAGTCCTGTCACCTAAATTTACTATCAAGGTGATATGCAGTGTGCTAGTCAGAAGATGGCAGCTGCCCTGATCAGGGTGACAGACAACAGCTCCTTTAAAAAAGACCAACTCAGCTCTTTTTAGGTAGCTCTTCCAGGGTCTTCCTCTCCGTACTGTTAAAGGAACCTCATTTCATAGGTGGAGATCCCGAGAATCAAACAACTGGGTTCCTCACTACTGTTGTTTTCTAGACGTCATCACTATTACTATTGTTTGTAGGGCTGGGGAACTGAATGAACTGAGGGCCTCAAAGCATGCTAGTACCGGTGCATTAGCTAGGAGCAGAGTACCAGTGAGTCATATTCACAGTCCACAGGGCTGATTATTTTCTTAAAAAATTTCACTTCTACAATTTATGAAAAAAGTACCCAGTTACTCTGTAATCAGTCATGAAATTAACCAGAATTTAAATTTCAAGGCACTTTTTTCCTTAAGCGTACCTTTGACAGTTAATTGCTAATTAAATTAATTCATATAGAAATGTACACGTGGGGCTGGAGAGACGGCACAGTGGTTAAGGACCCAAGTTTGGGTCTCAGCACCTACACAGTGGCTCATAAGCATCTGTAACTCCAGTTCCAGGGGATCTAGGTTCTACAGGCAATAGGCACACACATGGTCCACATACATACATGTTGATCACACTGTGAACCCTGAGTTTACATTGGTGTTAATTAAAAAAAAAATCAACTTTGAGTGAGGAGATTGAGTTAGCAACTGGTTGACAGAAAGTAATCATATAGAAAGAGTAAAAGGGTGTCTGGAAGTTAAGAGAGACACACAGGGAGTAGTAGGGAGGAGCTTTGAGTGACTTTTTTTTTTTTTTTGGTTTGGCAAAGGGAAGGGCACTGTTTCAGAGACATGGGCAAAGACAGATGGTCAGTTAGTTGCTACTCAACCTCTCTGAGCTAGCAGGTTTTCACCCCAGCCTCTGACTCCCAAGTCTTATTGAAAACTAGAATGGTGGAGTAGTGATGATAGTCAATGCAACAGGGAATACAATATATTTATTTACCAGAGAGAGAGAATCACACAAGCTGGGAATCAGAAGCATGGCCGGCTTCCAAAAAAGAGGAGGTCCTTTTTCCTTTCGCTTCCTTTTATCTCTACCTGTGCTAATTTACTTGTCCCCGCCCTCATGGACGGATAACTTTGTGGGGTTCACTCCTACAGTGGAGAATTAAGTAAAAGCTGTATTTGGCAGTAATGACAGAGCTGGTACCTGTGGGAACAGAATTCCCACCAGGCTGAGGCCTAAGTGGCCGGCTTTTGCCAAAGAAGTGGGTCAGTAACTTCAGAGTCACAATTACTGACTAAACAGCAGTAGATTAAAGTTCAGGCTCTACCAAAGGAAAAATAACACATACATGCCGGCAAGGCACTCAGGGTAAATAAAATAAAAATTATAAACACGCATGTTAATTGTATCGTAACTCAAAGTCTTTAGTATATAAGTTCTTTTAAGGGAAAATACAGATAATAAGATAGAAACTAACTTTCCAGTAATTTTTGATTCCATTTAATTGGTAAGACACTTCCCGAAGTGCTCACAGTTTGATATTTTTGACTTTCTCTTGCAGCCTGAAGGTGGACATGTCTTTAGGAAGACTAATTAGTAAGACAGTGACGATGTGTCCAGTCATGTAACGGTGGAGCTGACACCTGGCACAAATGTTGACTCAGAAACCACTCAAAGAGCTTGCAGCTGCTGTTGTTTTAGAAGTGATCAATGGATTGCCACAACCACTTCAGATTTTTAGTAGTTGCATTATACTTGAGATACTTCTTCAGAATAACATAAAATTTTTTAAAACTGAGGGAAGGACCCTTCTCCTGGCTTACTTAGCACGAGCGGTAACAGAATAAGTTGGCAAATGAGACGTGCAATAACACGGTAGTCCGAAGCACAATACTTGTGAAACCGCATAAGTAACGCCTGACACTTTGTACCTTCCTTCTCCAAGTTAGTATGAGCCGGAAAGTGGGAAAATCCCAGTCTTGGTCACTGAAAGCAAAGTTTAGGAGAAATCAACACCCTTACATTTCATAATCCCATTTGGTGTAGCTTTACATTTTACTTTTTAAAATGGCCAATGAATAACTTTTTAGAATCCATTATTCCATCATTTCAACCAGACTGAGAATATATGATAGCTTTGGGAAAACCATAATAGAGGTAAGAATAGAAAAAAAGAAGTTTGGGAGAAAAAGTTGAGCTTTCAAACCTTCTCAGGGCAGGTCCTGAGTGGCCTTCACCATGTCAGGAAATGCCAGGTGTGACTGCACACTACAGAAAACTGACTGCACTTGACCACAGAGGGCCACAAGTCTGGAAATAGATGGAGCAGACTGGTGTTACCACTCAAGAGTGTCACAGGCGAAGTCTCTTCTAGTGTCCCACTCCCTCACCCTTGGCCTCTCATGTCAGTGAAACACCTGTGAAGAGCCTTCATTCTAGATGAAGGCTGCTTAGTTTTAATAGTTTGCCACAGGTAGAATTTCTGAGCAGTCTCAGTTAAGGAATTAGATCAGCAGGGCCTATGGGCATGTTTGTGGTGGGGTTTGTCTTGACTGAAGTAGGAAGATGACCAGCCTCCTGGGGGTGGTACCATTTCATGGGCTGGGCCCTGAATTGTGCTTATCATAGAAGGCTATCTGCTCTAACTAAAACATTTCTTAGTTCTGGAAGACCAATAGCAATTAGCTCATTCCTCATTTCTTGGGCTGGGGGCATTGGCACACACCTTTAATCTTGGCAATTGGGAGTCTGGACTACACAGTTCAAGTCACACAAACAAAAAAGGCAATTTCCTATAGCCATTAATCAGTTTCAAGAAAAAAAATCTTTACATGGATAATGAAATTCATTCTAAAAAAAAATTCATGTGAAAATGTACTCTCCTCACCCAACAATGTATTTAAGAATGTGTTCAGGATCACTCCTGCCTGGAAATACAACATTGAGTGTTTTGTATTTGGTAAAAGACACTTGTACCAAGCCTCTGACTCAGAACTGTTTGAAGGGTACCAGAATTCACTTTTTAAAAAGCATTTTTATACTGACAATGTTGGTATAACAGCCAAAACAGCAAGATTTAGAAGCCTGAGTGAGGAGAGGTAACACGCTTATGGGGACGAGGGAAACAGTAATGAATTTGGCTTTGAATTTGCTAATTCAGTGGTAAACATCCCATTGGTCAAGAAACACAAGACTCAAGTTTGAGTAATCAACAATGGTAATGTAGATTTCGAACATGTCATAAAAGTTGATACTAGGGTGTGGTGGTGTTCTCTTGCAAATCCTGGCATGTGGGAAGCTGGGACAGCAGGACTGATTTCAAGTCTAGCCTGGGCTACAAAGCAAGATAGTATGACAAACAAAAAGCAAAAACCTCAACAGGAAATTGAAGCCAGACATCCCATGGAAAGCAAGGACAAAAATAAACATGTTTAAGGGAGAAAAGTCAGCAGTGAGGTATCTGACAGGTAGGGAAATGACAGGAGACAGAGGCAAGTCAGTCAGGAGATGATCTCTGTCTTGGTCATGTCCACAACACAGGAAGTGGCCCCTCACCAGACCCACGATCCACCACCGCTCAAGCCATGGCATCTCTGTTACAACAACCCATACTAAGACCCACAAACACCTTTCTACCCTGATCTAGTAGCATTGTGTAACCCCAAAACCATTCAGTTTGGAGTAAAAAAAAATAGAATATATCACCATCACAAAGCTCTTTTAATTAAAAAATATTTTTAAAAGATTTATTTTATGTATGAATGCCCTATCTGCATGTATGCCTTTATGCCAGAAAAGGGCATCAGATCCCATAGAGATGGTTATGAGCTACCACACAGTTGCTGGGAATTGAACTCAGGTCCTCTGGAAGAACAGTCAGTGCTCTTAATTGAGCCATCTTTCCAGCCCCTCAAAACTCTTAAGTCTCTGTGTACTGCTAAGATAAGACATTAGGTTAAGGTTGTAATCACATACCTACCCACAAAGTTCTATGAAAACAGGAAGCAACAGTACATGAGTGGGAATCCTATCCTTCAGTGGCTCCTGTTTCCTGTGAAATTTTGTTTATCTGTCTTTGGAGAAAAATACCCATGCCAATGCTAGCAAGAAGGAAGCCTGCTTCTGCCCCTTAGGGTGAGTCGTCTAAGCTAGTACTTCAAAACACAATTTTCTGATCCAGTTTCAACAAAGGATTTTATTTGTTGAACCTCAAAAAGCAGAATTCAGAAAATGGCAACCTACCACTAGGACAAACGTTGTCACACCTGTCTTTACATGGTGTGCTCACATGCACGTATCATCAGAGCAGACTGACAGGAAACACCAGGAGGCACACGCACTGTCTTGCTCACACTCTTGGGTGCACCTCCCTCCTTGGCAGGGTAAAGGAAGCTTCTTCTGAGCCTCCATTTGATAGAAACTCACCACAGATTTCTTATAGCAAAATAGAACTTTCCCCGTGCTGTCCCCAAGTTTGTTACCTACTAAAAGTACAGACTTGAAAATTTCCCTCCACTTTAATATTCTCCAAAATGGGTAACAGAAAATCCAATTAGGGAAGCTACAGAATGTGAGAACCATTCTACCATGGGGCTAAGTGAGTTTCCTCTACCACCCCCAGACACCAGATCTAGCTTGCTGATCACAAACCCTGCAGGCACCTAACAAGATCTGAGTCTCCAACCCAGAGTTTATTTCAGAGAAAGCCTGTCAGCAGAGCCCTGAGAAGAAGGCACAGAGTAAAGAATCCCAAGAAAGTTTTGGTGCCATTTCCATTTAATGAGTCAGAGGTATAGTGAGTGACCTAACGACTTTGGCTGTGACCACGCTAGGATGTTTCTATGAAACTACATAAGGACACATGACTGTCAGCTGGTATCCTCAGGTCCACCATGCCAGAGCAGCTGCAGCCCCAACTTCTACAAAGACTTAAGGCTGTGGGGTATAACGGAGGTATTTCTTGCCAGATGGGAGATCTTTGGTGAAGACTCCTTTAGGGAAAAGTTTTTTGGCTTCCTCTTCAGGGATGGTGGGAAGGACCATGACACTATCCCCATCCTGTTGGGAGAAGGCATAATTCAATCTTATAGCAATGGTAAAGGTCTTTAAGAATTAACTACAGGAGACTGGTGAATGGAGGTAAGCTGGTATTCTTTAGTTTCTCCTCTTTGAGGAACTTACTTTGTTTTGCAAATTGACTTTTGATATTTGTTAGGAAAGTATGTCTCCATTTGAAGTAGAAACTGGTTAAATCCCATCATCACAGCTGGCCATTGAAGGGCTTCTAGGCAGTTGGAACATGGCAAACATGGTTCTGGCCAGGCCTTGCCTTTCTCCCTGCTTCCCTCTGCCTTGCGAAAAACCATTAGGCTACATTTCCAAAGCTAGCTACCAAGGCCTATTCCTTTATTTGGTCACTTCCTCCTCCTGAGAATGACCACCAAAGTCCATCCCCCTTTGGTTGCCTTAACATGCCCAATTAAAATTAAACTCCTCATCCTGACACGGGGTTTCCCCTTTTACATTTATAAACTATCATTCTCCCGTGGGCCATGTCTATCTCTTCTCTATCCAGAGGCAGTCCTCTGTCTCCACCCTTCCACAAATACCCCTTCCCCCTTCTGCTTCTCCCTCATCCTCTATCTCCTGTCTCTTATTCCCTGCCCTCGGTCCCTCTGGGGCAAATAAATCTCCTTTGTGCTGAGAATGTGGTTTTGGGGTTCTCAGCCGATACTTTCCCTTTCAGTCATCACTTAATTCTAAACTTACCCCTTGGTTTACAGGATTGTTTTGGGCTAAACTCATTCTCACCTCCCATCCCTCCACCCTACTCCCTGAAAATGCAGATGATTTTACCTGTCAGAAAAATCAAAGCCTGGTACCCAGGGTAGCACACAAATCATGAGTTGACACTAAGATTCTCGTGGTGTATTATCTTGTCCTATTTATTTGCAGGCATCTTTACTAGGTATTAAAGGTTTATGAACAATTTGGGTGTAGTGGTGCATGCCTGTAATCTCAGCACATGGAAACCTGCCCGAAGTAGGAGATTAAGAGTCCAAGGCCAACCTATGATAAACACCGAGATCCTATTTTAAAAGGGGAGGGGGCAGGGATCAATCCACCTAGCAGAGTGCTTGCCTGGCATGCATGAAGCCCTGGGTTCAGTCCTCAGGACCATGTAAGTCTGGGCATGGTGGCACAGGCTTGAAATCCTAGCACTTGAGAGGTAGAAGCAAGAGGATCAGAAACTCAAGGTCATTCTTGGCAACATGGTGAACTCTAAGGCCAGCTTGGGCTACAGAAGACCATGAGGCTTTATCTTAAATGCTCAAACACACACATACACACACACACACACACACACACACTTTCTGAGCACATGCTCTCTCTATATAATGTTTTAAAGACTATATATGTTTAAAAGGTTGGAGCTTAAGAGAAAATAAAAGCTATAACAACAGATATGCAGCCACCATGACAGATGACAATCAGAAAATTAAGCCTTTGCTTCTTCCTGACTTTTGAGACAGGACCTTGCTACTAGCCTAGGCTGAGCTTGAACTTGTGATTCTTCAGTCCCTGTTTCAGCAATGCAAGGTTCACTGGGACAACACCAACACCTAGAAACCCATATCCTGAAGCATGCCATTAGCAACTGTCCCTCCAACCTTTTGGGCAAGCCGGGCACCTGGTTCTTGAACAGCTTTACCTTCCAATCAACAGGAGTAGCAACCTGTTTTGTTGCTGTCAGCTGGAGAGACTTAACTACTCTGAGAATCTCATCAAAGTTCCTGCCAGTGGTGGCTGGGTAGAGGATAGATAGCTTCAGTTTCTTGTCAGGGCCGAAAATGAACACCTGCAAAACACAGACACACGGGGACCGCTTTCGTATCTGACAATAAAGCCATTATCGGGCTCCCAGGATTGTGAGCTTGCTGCCTCATTTCCCCCTATTCCAAAGTGTTAGACAACAGAATCGACAAAGGAAATGGAGTTTGCTACAGGGCAGTCAAACCAGGGAGTAAAAGACTCCTAGTCTACCCTTCCTCTGCTACTGCTACAGTGCTTCTCAACCTTCCCAAGGCTGTGACCCTTTCATACAGTTCCTCAAACATGCGACCCCTGTGAGGGTCGCTTGACTCCCCACTGGGGTCATGACCCACAGGTTGAGAACCACTGCTCTAACAGTTCTATAATTTAAAAAGAATTTCAGTTATTTTTGTGTGTATGAGGGTGTGGGTGTACACACATGATGGGGGATGGTCTTCTGTATATGTTTATCTTATTGGTCGAATAAAACACTGTTGGCCAATAGGGCAGCAAGATAGGTGGGAGTAGTAGATGAGGAGGATTCTGGGAAATGTAGGCAGAGTCAGCCACCATGTAGGATGAGAGGAGTAACAGGTCTGGACTCATCCTCCAGTAAGATAAGACCACATGGAAATACTTAGAGATGGCTTAATAATTAAGATAGAGCTAGCCAATAAGTAACCTCAGTCAACAGCCAACAGCTTTATAATTAATACAGTGTCTGTGTGCTTCTTTGGGATAGAGAAGGGCGGTGGGACCTGGCGGGCCAGAAAACTCATGTCACACTCACATGCCAATCTGATAGTAGAGGTCAGAGGTCAGCTTGCAGGAGTTGGTTTTCTCTGGCACCACATGGGTTCCAGGAATCCAATCAGATCCTCAGGTTTGGCACCCTTTCCCGCCTAAGCTACCTTGCTTGACCTAGTGTAACACTGTTATAGAAAAGATGACACAGAAGCCAGGAACATACATGTCCATTTACTCAGTTGTCAGAGCTGTGGGAATGTCTTCCTGTGAAGAAGAAAGTTCCTATTTTGGTCTGTATGCCTTGTCTTTCCCTTCCATCCTGGGATTCCTGGAGGAATTTTAATTCATTGGGGTTTCACTGTTTTAAGATCTCTGTTCCAAAGTACCCAGAAAGCTCTGTAGTCACTAAGTGTTCAAAGATGCAAAACCATAACTATAAACAGAAAAAAAGAGTGGGAAAGTAGACAAACCAATGTCCAGGACACAGGTCACTCTCTTTTCTCTTTTACTCTTCAAAGTTTGCTGTCCCAGAAAAAAAAACTTGTAATGAATTTTCAGAGAAGAGCTTTGGGTAGATGCACTAGGTCACCTAGGGATGGCTATCATGAACTTTTGCTAATGTACGAAGATACAGGCTTCAAACAGCTGTACATTAGGGGCGGTCAGGCTTGCTCCTCAGCAAGCAAATGACAAACAAGAAAGTTCAGGAATGTCCTGTCAAGAAGGCTGGCAGCAGGTAAACAGAGAGTTTTTTAACTCTAGAGAATAGTTTTGGATGAACTGCTTATTTATGTGTGGATATATCCGATGGCTACGAATTAAACAGAAATTTTAGCTGACTATTATCTGCCCCAGCATACAGATAACAGAGGACAGTCACTGGCACACAGATGTTTCATAATGGTAGATATTCCTGTCTATTTCCTTGGGTTGGCCCAACATGGGACTGCTAGGACTCACCACACGGGCTGTCACAGGCATGCCCTTTTCATCCTTCTCTGCTGGATCCAACATGCCCAGAAGGATGGCAAGGTCCCTGTTCTTGTCATCGATGATGGGAAACGGCAACTTTTCTGTGGGTTCATCACCATTGTAAGCATTGATGTCCTGGAATGGAGGAGAAAGGGGAAAGAGAATTTTAAACTCGACACAGTTCTCTGCATTTCATCAGCTAAGAATCATCACTTTGCAGGCTTGGGAACCAACATAATAATGCTATCTAAGGGAACTGTAGCAAGATGCATGAACAGACACTTCTCATTGCCGCTACTCACCAACAGGAATAGTAGCAGAGAACAGCACACACAGGCCAAAGCCCTTACCACACTGAACTCTTAAAATTCATAGAACACAGGGAGTGAGGGAGGCTCAAGGAAAGTGGTAGAACATTTAGCTGGGATTTGAAAGACAGGTAAGGCTTTTCACTGGGAAAAGCAAGGCATTTGGGGAAGAGCAATATTAAGGAAACATATAAATAAGTCTATGCATAAGCTATCATAGGAAAGTGAGGAAGTTAACTAGTAGATTTTAGGAAGTGATAGGAAAGTGGATTTAAAATTAGAAAAAGGTGTTTATTATTCATTCACATGAAGCCCTGGGGCAGATCGGAAACCTTTTTTGCATTTCTTCAGAGAAGTGATAAAAGTGACATTAAAACTCTGAAATGGATAGCAACAGATTTGAACATATTCACTAATTTTATAGCTAAAGTTGCCCGTGGCTGTTGGTCACTGGCTGCCTATTGTTTAGTCATTAGCTAAATAATAACAACTATTGTTTCCTGCCAGCACATCTAGAGTTTTCCTGTGGAATCTGTTACATGCCCAAGCTGGCTCTGCTTTTGGAAGTTTAGATTTATTTTCTATTCCAGACAATCACAATTCTAGAAACTTCTAAGGCAGACAAATGAATCCGGGTATGTTCCTGTACATTAGAGATGTGTGACGATGAACTCTGAACTCCTCTTTTGGCAGTCTGTGACTTCATATTCATTAATTCTTGACCTTGTCACTTGTTTAATTGACAGTACATTACACTCACAGACACCAAAAAACCACATTATTTGGTTTTTGTTTTATGCTAAATCAGGACAATTTCACTCCTTACCAGCCAGCACCAAGGGCATTAGTTGAGATTCAGATCACACTGGCACCTTCCTTTTCAACTGGGTGAGCTTGAGGAGGTCATTCTAATACTCACTCACAAAAAATGGCATATGGAAAAGGGCTTTGCTGTAGAAATGCCAGTTACCATTCACTGCCAAGGTGTGCTCTACCTAAGGGAAGATGGCGACCCTCCTTATTCTTTCTACCCATCACCCTTTTGATCCTACACAGTGGGGATTAGTTGGTGTGAAATGGCCATGGGATGTAACACATACCGAAATGCCATCTTTTATTCAGTTGCATGTGATCGGCAGTGCCCAGTACACATACATGTATACACACACACACACACACACACACACACACACACACACACACGTATTTCATAGTATACTATAACAAAGTCGATTGAAACATTCTGTCTGAATACGTGTAAATACTTCTGTCCAAAGCAGACAATTTCAGTCCTTCCATTCAATGAATCTGACTGTCCCCTATACCGAGTACTTTTATAGCAGTGAACTAGAGTCTACCCCAGTTGGGTCCCCTGCTCACAGTGGGAAAAACACAGTGACTAGATAAGCAATATGCAGACTTAGTGACAAGAGCTAAGGAGGTGACAGAGTGTCATCATGTTCATAATTTTAATGAGGTGCACTTGAGGTGAAACACCAAAGCAGTATAGGCAGTGCAGATGGATGTGTTTAGTACTGAGTGCCTATGAGTGTGTGGATAAACCAGACATGTGGTGTGAAAACATAAGGAGTTAAGAATGGCTCTGAAGTTTCAACTTAGCAACACCAAAAATGCAGCTGCTATTAGTGGAGATGAAAACAATCCTGGAACAAATAGTGGGGTCCAATTCTAGATATATATGCTAAGATAAGAGTGTCTAGACAGCCAAAGGAGATGCCGAAAGGCTGGTTTTACTGACGTGGAAGCCAGGAGATGGGACTCTAAGAAACAATTCATGAATGTTATCTGAAGATTGAGTATAAGAGCTCACCAAGTGAGAAAGGACAGACAGAAAAGAGAAGTGGTCCATGAAATAAATCTGGGTCAGCTTCAACACAAATTAGGAACTTGGAGACAATGAAGAATGATTCTAGGCACAGACAGTTGGAGGCAGCACCTTGAGTGCCAGGACAACCGAGGTAGGGCTTAGAGAGATTAGGTGAGCTGAATGCTACTGGTAAACCAGGGAGGATGGTGACTGAGAATCTGTCACTGGACACAGCAACACAGAGATCACTGCGAAGCTGAAATCCGACGTTCAGTTAAGCAGTGAACTCTGAGCCCCAGGTTTAAGTACACTTTAATCTCAGAAACCAGGTTACACTCTATGTAACTAAGATGTAATAACCTCAGAATCAAAGTGCACGCCAGTCGATACTTCTGACACAGAAGGGGAGAAAGCCAAGTGTCTGCTCTTTTACTAAGGAACACAAGGACTTCTGTGACATCGCTGGTCACCAAGAAGTGTACAGGTATTTCTCCCCAGAGACTGGGTGGGGATTTAAGTCTCAACCCCTAATCCTGCCTGGTTCTGTCAGACCTGTGGAGGGGGCTGTGGCCACCAGTCAACTCATTAGCACATAAAAAGACATTGCCTTTTGGAAAGTATTAGACTATTAGGAACTGTGTGGGAGGTTACAGGAAAGGAGGGCTATATACCTCAAATCACAGATAGAACTATACCTTGCTCCATGCAAGATGGTCCTCAACACTGTCTATGGAAAGAGCAATCAACTTAACATTCCTCTTGGCAAACTCTGGCGCCAGCTTTGCAGCTCTGCCAAGCTCTGTAGTGCACACTGGGGTAAAGTCCCGTGGGTGGGAAAAGAGAATGCCCCATCTGGAATGAAGAAGAAGGACACAACTGAATGGACAGTTACTATCATCATTCGGAATGAAAACACTCAGTATCTGCATTTAAAACAGGCTTTCTCTCTTCAAACATCTGCTTAACAAACACATTCAAACTTTTTAGATCTAACCTTGCCCCCACAGAAGCCCAAGTTGACAGTAAGTGTCCATAATATATACATTTTTACATATCAAATATATAAAAATCAAGATAAATGACTCAAAAGGACTCATTTTAAGGTGTTACTTCTTTATTTTTTTTTATTTTTTGAGACAGGGCTTCTGTGTCCTTGAACTTCCTCTGTAGGCCAGGCTGGCCTTGAACTCAGAGAGTGGGCCCAACTCTTGCTTCCCTAGTGCATGCACCACCACACCATACCCGGCCATCACTCCTTTCTTGACTATGGAGCTACCATGACTCCTTTTCAGTCAACAAAATGTGTGCTATTTAAGCCAAGTACCCCATTGAAATATTTCTTAGGCCCTTTGTTTGTTTTCTAGCACAAACTTTGATATTCAGTGCCTACTATGCCCCAAATCCAAACAGATGTCTGGGTACAATAATAAACAATTATGTAACTCAGAACAGACAGGGGCTCTGTCCTCCATTTGAAGGTAAAATTTAGGTTGACACTTGGCTTTCTGGAACCAGCTAGATATAAAATCTTTCATAAAGCCGCTTGACTGATCTAACCTGTTAAACGAGGTGTCCACACTTGTACCATCCAAGATAACACTTGAACAGTTGCAGTTCCTACTTTAGAGCAAGCAGGTAGAAAACACAGATACCCCACAATGCAGATTTCCACACCTACAATTCTTAGGTAAAGATTACAATCAAATCAATGTCTAAGGTTAAAGTTATACAGATTTTGAGGAAGCCTTAAGTGCCCAAGAAACTTGGGAGTACTATTTCCTTCTCCTTGGCAACCGAAAACATTCTTTCAAGTGACAAGGAAAACTCAGCGCTCCATTCTGTACACTCTCACTGCTTGAGCCATCTAGGGGCAAGGTCTCAAACCAGCAGATTACTCAATCTGGCCTAGATGCTGAGGGTTTGGCAACATTCCCTGAGCATGAAGAACAAGGCAGACAGAGCTACTGTGTTGCATGGACACCTACCACTCAGCTTCCAGGGTAAGGCAAGGCCTTCTTAAAAGGCTGGAAGGCCCTAAGAATGAGCTAGGTTATGCTTGAAGACTGTAGAGGTATGTGGTGTTTAGTTCTTAGTATGGGGAAGTAAGATTTCATGACTTAATCTAGCTGTGACATTTAGGTTTTAGATTCTATGGAAAAGAACCGATATAAGGTTCAGGTGTGACTTAGAGAAAGGAGCTTCAAGATGAAGAAAACAAAGGAACAGGGAATTTCTTTATGTATTGTTTAGGAGTGATGAATTAGAAGTTTGTTCCCTTTTTTTTAATTGTGAGGCAAATGTGTTTTGCTGAGTCATGCTAGGGTACTGGTTTTCTGCCACTTCACATACTCCAGTGTATTTTAGGGTATTCCAAGAATGTCTGCCCTGCTCTTTGAAGAAATTCAATTACATTATCCCATTTCATCCTCATTTTCAAAGGACTGAAGGTTTCCTCCTTCTAAGAGAATGGTCTCTACTTCTACCAGAAAACCTCTGATACAGGTATTTTCATTATCGAGGAACCCTGAGACACACTAGGGAGACACTCTTCCACATCCAGAGGCCATACAAAACTATGTAAACCCACACTGCACCCAAATCCTTGTTTCTAATTGCCTGAGGTAGAGCAGACACCTGTAATGTTTAAAGTTGCGCTTTTTTCTCCAAAGGAGATTATCTACAGAATGGAGTTTGGAAAAATAAGCACATTCCATGTGTTGTAATGATAGAGGGGGAAAAGTCTTTCTCAGGGATGACAGGAGTATCATGCTTCACTCTAAGCCCACTTTTAGGCTTGCTTATAAGCTTACCTCATCTTCTTAAGAAGACGGTGTTTCATTTACTTATTTCAGTGTTTTCTTGTTTCTTTGTTCGTTTGTTTGAAACTGGGTTTCTCTGTGTAATAGTCCTGCAACCCTCTTTGTAGATCAAGCTGGCTTAGAAACTCAAGAGAGTCACCTGCCAGTCTCCCCAGTGCTTCGATTAAAGGTGTGCATTTTATTTAGAGACAGAGCCTCATTGAGCTGCCCTGGTTGGTCTTGAATTTAGGATCTTCCAGCCTCTGTCTCTCAAGTAGCTGGAATAACAGGTCTACCCATCTGGGTACAGCTGGGAAACAATATTTTAAATCAAATCTAGATAGATCTAGATCAATAGACAATCACAAAGATCCCCCTCCCCCTCCCCGTGGTTATCTTCATAGTATTCGTGCTTTAGATTCATATTTATCTGTAACCCATAGAGATGAAGAGTTCCAGCGAGATCTCACATTTCATCGGGGTGTGGGGCTGCAGGCAGGAATGGGAAGGTACAGCCTGTAAATCCTCTGCAGTCTTGGATAGTATTAACACCTAGGTTCTGAGTATGACACGGGCAGTCATGCTTATCTCTAGTCCTCTCCTGGAGGGTCTTAGAGTTCCATTTGCTACTTTTTCTAGTCTGCCTTTCTCTTTGAAAAACTCTGCTTTCCCACAGTCGGCAGTTGAAAACGGACGCCAGGCAAGAACCCTCACCTAGTTCTCCAATGCTTCCCCGCCTGATCACAGAAGAGTTTCATCAACTGCTGTCTTCCCACTTACATACACCTGAGTACTGGCTAGAAAAAGGACACAAACCCGGGAGTTTCTTCATACAATGTAGTAGGGCACTGAAACTCCAGAACCACAAAGTAACCTGACACGTATACAAAATACGGACTGAAACTAAGCATCTTGCAATTTGTGCTTTCAGGAGCTGTAGGCAACACTGGTGTACTCCTCGCCATTCGTGGCCACACCACAGAGGCTATCAGCAGCAAGGCCGGGCGCTGGATGCAAGGCAGAGGGGGAGGGGACCACTAGCAAACAAAAGAGTCTAAAGTGGGGAGGTACACGTGTCCTAGCCTTGGAATGGCCCAGGGTGGCAAAATGGTCGCAGGCACTGAACAACCCCCTCCCTCAAACTGTTGCTTATTCTGGGACGACGGCCACACCCACACAAAGTGTTCCTGGTTCCTCCTAAACCTGTTAACACAAAATCTTATAGTGACCACAGACGTAGGCTCTGGACAAAAAGTCTTCTGGCTACTTACTTGGCACATGGTAGTTTTTAAAAATTTCAAAAGACCGAAAAAACCACTCCCTGAAGTCAAGAGGACTTCAGATAACGCCGAGCCATCTCTAATTTGTGGTTGTGTACTCTTGACTATGCCCTTCGGCACCCACCTTCCGCCGGGTGCAAATTCTAGAGCGGCGAAAGGGCGGGCACTGGGACCCGGAGCAAGCGTCCCGAGAAGTGACCTCCAACACCGCACACCCCTGCCCCACCTCCCCTGGGTTTTCTGTCCGACCGCGTTACAAGTGGACACTGTTTACAACTCCAGGTTAAATGGACAACAAACCCCTCCCCCATGCAGCCCAGCCACGTTGGGTCAGGGAAGGATCCCGTGATCAGCGCAGGACGCGCCAAAGGTCGTAGGTCCCCAGCAACGCCCGGTGATGCTCGGTGGGACTCCAGCGGCGGGCACGTGCGGGAACCGGTGAGGGGCTAAACTAGCGTTGCGCCGGGGCCGAGCGCAGCGCGGAAAACAGAAGCGGGGAAGGCAGTTCTGGGGACCCGCCATCTGGCAGGCCGACGCCGTGGCTACTTACGAGTCTCCCAGGAAATCGTGGAAGCGGATGGGGCCGACGGTGGTATTGGCCTCAAAGTTAGGGGCTTCGTCCCCGAGAAGCAGCCCTCCGGGCATGGCGGCAGCGGTGACGCGGGGAACCAGGAGGCGCAGCCGCAGCAGCAAGCAGCCGGCGGGCTCGGGTGAAGAAGCCTAGATCAGTGCTGGTCGAATGGGCGGGCCCGGGCGTGGGGCGGGGCGGGCGGGGAGGGGCGGGGCGATCGCGAGTCAAGCCGCTGCAGTTCTTCACGTGGAGGCCGCAGGGCAAGTAGGATTCAGGGGCGAAAGGAGGCCTCGTGCAATAGGAAGGTAGCTTATGGAGGACAGTTGCGGAGGCCTATAGGGTCTGGCGGTTCTGCAGAGATGCCCTAGGCGATCGGCGCAGGCCCCCCTGCACCCCACTCCTGTCAGACTTCCAACCAAGGGATCTGGTGGTATAACCCTTCTACTGTGAGCATCTAGTATTGACTACTCAGCCAACCTAGGCTTCAGAGATTTCTCAGCATGTGGAAAGACCTAGATGTGTGTGTGGATGAAAGTCAGAGGAAGTGGCTTTCTTATTGCAACAAAAATTCTGTACCAACGTCAGTAAGAGGGCAATGAAAACCACCTTTTATTTTGCCTCCCATCCCTGGAGTTCCTCAATGAAGTATAAAAATATTCAACACATTAACCTTAATGTTTAAATACAAGTTTCACATCTACTTCCTGAGACTGAATGTATGCAAGTAGTCAGTTTTCACCTGGGGAACTGGGAGGTTTTGGTTCACTTCCTGTTTCCCAAGCACAAAATGGAGAGGATGCCTGCGTTATTAGAGACAGATGGCAGACACTGCACAGAAACCAGAAGCTGTAAGAGGCTCCTCCTGGTTATTGTAAGCCTGAAACCCTAGCTACTCTAAACCCCATCTACTCTGGAGAAAGGCGGATCCTAAGCTCCAAGCTACAGAAGAAGTTCAAGGCCAACGTGGGAAACTTAGAGCGCCTCCAAATAAAAAGGTGCAGAAGAGGATGGAGAAAGAAGCTCTGTGGTAGAGTATAGGAGGCGCCAGGTCAGTGGTTCTCAAACTATGGGTCACGAAGCCCCTTGAATCACATATCATATGGTTTACATTAGGATTTCTAACAGTAGCAAAATTGCAGTTGTGAAGTAGCAATGGAATAGTTTTATGGTTGGGAGTCACCACAACGTGAACTGTGGTGAAGGGTCAAAGGAACCTAGGAAGATTGAGAACTTTGCCCTAGGTTCAGTCACCAGCACTAGGGTGAGTTGGGGAAGACTATATCAGAAAGCCCCAAGCTCTAGTTGGAGAAACAAAAGTAAGGTTGCAGAAGTTAAGTAAAGATAACTGCAGGCTGGCTTCAGATTGTGTGCTCCAGTCTGGGAAAGCCTACAGGATAATAGATAATAGGTTAACTGCTCAGAGCATGCCAAGTGCTCTGGAAGTGGTAGCTATTATTTAGATGATGATAATGATTCATGCAATAACTCTTTCCTTATTGCTGTCAAGATACTGTGCTAGGCCTGATGTGAGAGACTGTCCCAGCTCTTACAGGAAAAGTGAATTACGTGCAATTACGATATAATGCATGGCAATATTGCTAGAGAAACTGCAAATGGTTGGGATTCAGCCCGAGGAATCCTCCGGAACAGACTTAGCAGGGTCGAAGGAACTCTGTGGCAGTGCTGGGCATGATAACTCACTGTGATCTGTGTTTTCATCACAGTGATGTGCTCTGTCTTTGTGTCAACATACATACTGATTATACTTACCTACTTCATTGTATACAGCCATACAGAGACTTTAAAGCTAAGATAGTTTAATCTCTAGATTGATTCATCCTTCTGTTTTGAAAGCACATATCTTACCTTTTATTTTTGTAGTAGAGGAAGTGAAGCAGTTTGACTTCAGGGCATTATGAGCAGTGTGTGGCAAAGGTGGCCTGGGAACCAAATACACCATAATACAGAGAATGGATTCAGTTTAAGGCTCTATGAGCAACATGTTGCAAAGATGAGCTAAAAATCAGATTCACAACAATACAGTGAGTGGGTGCAAAAACAAATGATTGATGGCTATCAAAGGCATAGTTACATAGCCACTAGTTGTAAATTATGCAAATGCAATAAGATAAACACCGACTCCAATTTACAGTGCCACACGCAGCATACCAGTGATGACCCAGCAAACTGCTTTAGTCTTGGCAAAAGTTGAAATTGTTTTAAGGTAGAGATGAACATTTTTAACAACCACCAACCCCATAACGCTGGGATTTCTCTCTTCTGAAAAGTCAGACAATTTAGCAACAACAGGCCATGGCCCCCTGGGAAATTGGCTACAAAGTCGCTTTCTTTTCTTTTCATGCTCTGCTTTTTTTTTCTTGTTACTTTTTCTTCTGTCTGTCTGTCATATTGTGAACATGGAAGATGAAGGCTATTTTAGTCATGGCAAAAACCTGATATAGTATTTTTTTTTGTAAAAGCAATGAGTATTCCCATGTATTGTAGTATGTGAATAAAGCTGGAAGAACACCGTGCTGTCCCTTGTAGGTGAGTTTGACCTTGACTTACAGCTAAGGAACAAGGGAGTCCCAGAAGGAAATTGAAGACCATTTTTCTCAAGGGCTAGTGAGAAGAACAGTGGGAAAGGAGGAAAGGAAGTGCTGTGGGAAAGGCAATCTAGGGGGAGGCCAGACATGGGAAAGGAAGAACCAGGTTGGGGGAAGGAAGAAAGAACCCGACTGGGGGAAGGAAGCATTTACTATGAAGGTCTGGAGGTCCCAGGCATGGGGAAAATGCTTCCAAGGAACCCAATGGTTGGAGAGAGGACTCGGTCCTTAGAATTATCTCCGAGGGTTAAGAAGCAAGTGTAGGGACTTCCAGTGGGCTCTTTTTCTGACTCACATGGTCTATCCTATTCTCACTGCTCCTCTCTCTGAGTCTATGCATATGAAAGCAGAAGGGGCCTATTTGGAGGAGGAAAGGAGCCATCTGGATGGGGACAGGAGGATGGAAGACACAGGTATGGGAGAAGATCAACAAGAGCAAAGTATATAATGAAGCCCAGCACTTTGTTTTTGTTGTTGTTGGTTTTTGGGGGGGGGGTCGAGACAGGTTTTCTTTGTGTGTAGCCCTAGCTGCCCTGGAACTAGCTTTGGAGACCAGGCTGACCTCAAACTCACAGAGATCCACCTGCCTCTGCCTTCCGAGTTCTGGTGCGCCACCACTACTCGGCAAACCCAGCACCCTGCAAGCTAACGATTAAAAATACAACTCAAAAAATATTGGTTTAAAGTGCATGTATGTTTACCAAAATATTTTACTAGAATATTCCTAAGAGCAATGTCATAGGAACAAAAGAACTATTCACATCACCTATTCCCAGCCCTTTCTTACTGGTAGCTCTTTCTCTTTCCTCTTTCTTCTAATGTCGGCTCTTCTCAGAGCATAGTCTTAAAAGTATGTATAGTTTTTCTGTAGGTGTTATATCTAGTCCTGTGGCTTTAAAACATCTATGTGCTGAAAATGCCAATTTTGTCTTGAGAAAAGCTAAAAATTTATATACACATCTGCTCATTCGACATATGCCCAATATGTAATTATTAATCTCCACTGGCCCCTGCCACAAACTTATTTGACGTATTCTGTGTCAGCAGTGACTCCTTTTTACGAGTGACTCTGTTACAGAGCCTATCTCAGAACCCTTGACCTCTGTCTCGCCCTCGGCCTCCTTACTGAGGTGCACTCTTTAGTCATTCTGTCGTAGCTTGCCTTTTATTGTCCGAATTGTGGGATTAGGAATGTGCAAATCACATCCCCCCTCCAGTAGACGGCTGGCTGTTAGGGTCTGTCCACTGGAGCACAGGGTGTGCTGAAAGAGATTGTCAAGATTGGAGAAGGAAGGGCCTTGTCTTTTTCCTGTCTGTTTTCCACCTTCTCATGACAGATCAGCCCACAGTTGGCCTTGGTGAGACAGATTATGAAGACTCAGCTTTCCCCAAGGGCTATTTGACTGGGAGTTAAACACTGTTAAATACTTTTCAGAGTGTTAATGTCTCAGAAGGTCTTTATTTCTAGCAGTTTTTGAATATGCTGTCGGGAATGAGTCATTTGACTTTTTGCTAGTCAGTTGTCAAATCGTTTCCCTGTGCCCAGCCACCTTAAGGTGTAGCCTGTCAATCAAGAAGACCTTTTTATTTGATAACCATCCAGATGGTCATCATGGTTGCTTAGAAACCCTCATGGATGCCTTGAGAAAAATCCACAGCAGCCATGAAAACCAGTGCCACCAGAAGCCACCACTTCTGCTTGAGGGACTTGCTCCAGTCACAGCTGCTCTGACAACACCTGACAGTTTCTAGAGATTCTCTTTGACCATGGTCTTATTGCAGTTGTTTTGAATAACTCTGCCCATCTTTCCACTATTCTTATTCAGTCCGGTGAAAGAAAACTTTTGGGGACTCAGTAAAAAGGCTGCAATTGGCAGACCGGAAACTGCATATTAAAAGCTTGGAGTTGATTTTCTGGCCAATAAGCACCCCGCTTCTCTCCTCAGCTCAGTCTTGGATGCTTCCCTCCTGTACACTGTCTCTCATGTAACAGAAGGCCCCAACAAAAGCCTTCAGAATAGCTCTATATTGCTGGCTTGTCACCTTTATGACAGGTGGCTGTACTTAGAGCAGACAGAACCCTGGGGGCATTCAGACACTTAGCAGGCACTTGGTATTGTCACTTACAAGGTGGTTGGAGAGTGATGTCAGAGTCTATAACTCTGCTGTGTGTTCTTGGCTTCCTCAGCCGGCAGTTGGGAACTGAGACTATGGATAACTGTAGAAGTTCTGAAAGGGAAAATGTCTGAGAAGAGCTGAGAAAGCAGAGACGAAAGGCAGAGAGCCAAGTGAAGGGATAGCAGACCCCCCACCCTTCTCCCAGCTGCTGGGAAACTTCTAGAGAGCCACAGAAGATTAAGCACTGAGGGCCCCAATAGTGAAAGCTTCGAGTTAGAATACTAACTTTTGAGTATAAGGTCACTTGGAATTAAAGCCCAGAGAATTAAGCCTCTGACTCAAGTACAGAAGGCTGTAAGTCTCTGGGAAGTAAGCCTCTAGTCTAAACGCCTACTGCCAAAAGCCTCAGTCTTGGAAAGCTCAGAGCAATAAACCCCAGGCTTTCAAAGCCAAGAGCCACAAGTCTTACTCTCAAGGCCCAGAGCTACAAGCCTCTGAGCTGAAAAGGCCTTCGACATTGGACTCCCAACGTTAAAGGAGTTGTTCCTTGCTTATTTATAATTTCCACCAGAATGGAGAAAAAGAACACTCGAGGAGGGGGTGTGTGGCTCTGCTAGCTTACTCTAGGCAGTGTAGATTGCTCCCGTGGCTCCAGCAAGGGATACGGAGGTTATGGTGGGTGACATTTTAAAGCAATTGAACCACTCCCTAAGAGGCCTGAGTCTTGTTTGTTGTAGTCCTTTTCTACATTCCTAAGTACACCTGTGTTTACTTGTTCCTTAGTCTAAGAAGTGACACCTATAGTTTGTGAAGGCCACTACCTTTCTATCATACTTTAAAAATTCCTTTCTTAGCGGTGAACTACCATTTTACAAGGTTAACAATTCCTTATAGTTGCAATTCTGTTATTTCAATGATTTCTGTCTCTTGCCTGGATCCTGATTGACAAAATTCATATGGGAATAGTCTTATGAGAGACACGCTCTAATACGGACACTTTTCTTGGTTAGGCCTGAACCCATTGTTAATGGAAAACATAAGACTAGTAATCCATGGCATTCAATGGCATCAGAATCAAATGATCATAAATGGCTGATTGGGATGAAATGCCAACTGAGGCATGTGCTTAGGAGCCCAAACAGCTGCTGCACTTGGCCCGGAAGGCAGCAATGGTCATGATAAGTATTGTGGTGTGAGATGGACATTTCTGAGAAGAATGGAATGTTCCCAGACAAAATGAAAAGCTAAGGTCCTTAAATCCTTGACTCAGTTCTTGCCCTAGTCATGAGAGAGCTTCCAGGGTAGCCTTAATAGTCCTAACATGATTTTTTTCCCTCCCACAGATTTGATACTACTAAAAATCAAAGTTTAATTGTCTAATTGCCAGGTTACAACATCATTGGACATAGCAGCTTGGCCGGTTTTCTCATATGAAAGTTAAGCCTTTGAACCTGGAAAGAGGAACCTCAAACTTAAAATAGGGACACATAGTTGGACTGAAATGAACTGACAACCTCAAACCCCTGAATTTTCCCTTACAGTAGAGGGAGTTTGTCTTTCTCTGAGGAGCCTGGAGCAGGTCCCTCACAAAAAGATGAGGGTGCATACTTTCGTCCAAAGCAATCCCCAGCCTTCCTGTTTCCATGCTCCTCACCACGATGCTTAAGCTCCAAGTGTTGCTTTGATGCTGAGCTCAGATTTCCAGGTTTGTCTTCTTCAAGGAGTTAAGTTACTTACTTGCCCTGCAGTGGAGTTTGGGCCAAGACAACCTCACCCAACAGCAGGCTCCAGATTCTTAAACACAATGGTTTCTGTTTGAGAATGTACTTAAGTTTGTCCTGTACTTAATGTTGACAGGTAATGTTAAGACTCTTAAACAGAAAAATAGGACTTGTCAGCATTGTGTCCTTGCATTGCCAATAGGTTAAACACTTATAGCTTTCTGGCGGTATCACTGGTACTTCAGTGTCTTGAAAGTCTTGCGCAGAAGAAGCAGGGCATTATGCTCAGGCAGGCTCTTTATCTCTGAGATTTGCTCTCCATGTTCTGAGTGCTGAGTCATCTTTAGCAAATTACTGCTATTGCTCTGAGTGGGAGTGTGGGTTTGCCCTAGTTTTTGACTACTGAACTCAAGTACTGTGAACATAAATTTTCTTATTTTGCAGAGGGATGAACAATTAGAGTTGCGTGAGCAGAGTATTTACAGCTGTTATCTGTCAGCAGTACGCCATCCCAAGAGTCCCCTGGACAGGTAGAGTTATTTCACAATTAACAATTTTTTTGTAAACATTTAACTGGTGAATTGAAAGCTCACATTTCAATTTTTTTCTTGTTGGGTTCTACCTTTGTGTACCTGTCTAAGTGTGTAAACAGTTCTCATCAGTCTTCATTTGCATCTTATCTTAGTTGAGAGAAAAACCCTGAATTCTGAAAACCAAACCAAAGGTGCATGCCTCATTCACGCTTGTGGATTTTGCCCTGCTGTATGACAGGCCCATCTTTTTGATCAGTATCCTTGCAGAAAGGTAACTGCATAGAGTCGGGGTCTGGTTCACAGACAAACATTTTTAGTGGATGATAGACAATGGGAAATGTCTGCTTCTATTTAAAAGTCTAAGAGGTAATGTCAACGTTATTGACTTCTTCTGTACAGATAGATTTACTTAATATTTCAGCAGTTTCTGAATTATTTGGTATTAAAATTTTACAAAGCTAAATTATTCGTATACTTTATTTACAAATTCATCCATCTGTCCATCTGATAACCAGTTTGCTCAAGTATACAAAATACTGGTATGAGGTTTCACCAAACTTTAACTAAATGCTCTTTTCTTTTTCACACCTTTCTATCTTTCCATTCTTTTGCCTTTCTTCTCCATTTAAAGCTTGCCTTCCTCTCCCTCCCTCTCTCCCTCCCTCCTTCCCTCTATCCAGGTATTTGCCTATTAAGTTAGATGATCCAAATCAGGAAGGTGTTGAGTAGTCTTTGCGGCAGATGGGGTATGTGTCTGCACTTCACTTTTGCCACTAACAAAACCTACTGGACTGGGTATGTCAGTGGTAAGGTGGACATATTGCAGTCTGGGACAGTTGAAGGTATAGGGATAACAAACAATGCTAGGTTCTCTACTCAGATTAATTCCAGAGCATTGAGAGTTTTCACAATCTGTTCTTTCAAAGCCTGCTTTAATCCTCTTCCAGCATAAGTAAAAGCCCCACTTACCGCTGAAACAACCTTAATCTTAGGGATTGTCTCAGTCCAGTTACCATTCTCACACCGTGCCTCAGAAGTCTAGTTACATGGAGTCATGTCATCCAACAGAAAATAGCTTGGAATTTCCCTAGTAAGGCCAGTGTGTGAAAATGCAAAGCCCTGTGCTTATTGTTAAGCTAGAACAGACCCTTAAGCGCTGGAGGAGTCAGGCTTTGTAGTTCTCATAGCTGCCTATCACACGTTCTCTTTCATTTGTTCAGCACGATCTGTTGTGCTCTAATAATATTTGCTGATACTAATGAGAGAAACTTAAGAAACTAGGTTGGGCATTTAAGTGGTCAGGTGGGCATACTCTGCATCAACAAACAATATTGACTTTCTAGTTTTCTTTCTAAGCTAGAGTTTTTATATTTCAGCCTTTGGTGAGGAATGGGAGCCAGCAACTGTTGATCAAAGGAGGAAACAACCATGGAGGAGGATACAGATGAGACATTAAGTAAACCTCAGACTACTTCATAGGAGGAATTTTGGAAAGATAAAACCTTTGGCCTGTTTTGGATCACATTCCCTCTGTAGAACAAGTAGAGACAATTGCATTCTGTTTGAAGAATTTACTGTTGGACAGTGTTGTCTCATGCAGTCCTGAAGGACAGTATCATCTTCAAGCAAGATGGAGTCAAGAATGGACATACTGTGCCCCTTACCCAGGAGGAGGGCTATTCATGGTTTATAAGTTACACATTTGATGGTCTGGGGCAGGTTCAAATTGTTTTGGGGGTGAACTTGTCTGTGTTAGGCCAAGGATTTTATGTTTAATATTTCCCTTGAAACCCCTTTTCTTTTACACAAAACCACATGCTAAGTGGGTCACTTGTATTGGGCTTTATTTTTTCACAGCACTGAGAACAAAACCTGAGTCCTTGTCACGTTTGCATACTAAATGAACCACACAGTGCACAGAGCTGCAAACTTGGAGACAGGTGGCCTAGACTCTAATTCAGTTTTATTCCTGTTCACCTCATGAACTTCAACAAAACTCTTTCAGCTTCCTTATATCCACTCAAACAATAGTGAGTAACCTCTTCTGTTTATTGGGTCAATTTAAGGATTCTCAGAGAATGTAAACCATCTTTTGTGAGCTGTAACTGCTATAGAAATGAAATACATACAACTTCAAGGTGTTGACGCCCTTGTCACTTGTACAAAGAACTTCCCCATTCTTTATCTGGGTCAGACCTGGGGTCAGAAGGGATCCCAGTCAGTGTGACTAGAGACCAAGCCTGGACCTGGCTCTGCTGTGTCAACATCCTGTTCTGAAAAGGAACTACTTGTAGAGTCTTGCCTGTTTTCCTCAGATTTTTATGATTGGCCTTTAGAAATCTGTATTGCAGAGGCCATGGAGTATTGACCCGTGTTAGCTGTTTCTTTTGCATATTTATTTTTCCAGAGAATTATGTTAGATACTAGGGAATCAGAGATTATCGTTATTTTTTAAAAGCCTCAGTCTGGTGAAGGAGATAGACCACAAAGTAAGCAGAGCGATTTTAAGTTGTGATAAGTGCTAGCATGGATGAAGACGAGCTGTGGTGGAAGATAAAGTAGGTGGGAGACTTACTTTGGGCAGTTTGAGGCCTCCAATAGCGTGGGCCTGAGGGCGAAAAGCCAGCCATGCAGAGATCTGCAAGAAGAACTTTCTAGGCATAGAGAACTTTGTGTGGGAAGGCCCTGGGGCTCAAAGAGTCTTTTACTAGAGAACTGAAAGGTGACTAAGGTGGAGGGGACAGGTGAGCTGGGAGGAGTGGATTGAGCAAAACTGAAAGCTGTGGAGTGTGGAATTTCAAAATCATCTCACTGTCTCTGTCTCAAAGTCAAAAATACTACCTCAAAACATTTGACTTTTTCATCAAAACATGGGAGACCTCCTTATGTCTCCCATCTACTTAAATACTGGACTTCATATCCAGTCAACAGAACATACCAGCACCGTTTTAAAATATCTTTGTAAATCCATTCACTCATCTTAACCTTATAGTTGTCACCCGAGATCAAGCCATTGTCACCCTTGCTCCAGATACTGTAGAAATTGTCTATGTAGTAGTGCGCTGGCAAAAGCCTAATGGTCATGGTGATGGGGAAGGCCTAACTTGTAGCACTTGCAAGTTTCCTTGGTATCAGTATGCACACTGGACTATCTGTCTACCAACATGGTGCTCCTAAACATGGCATCAGGAAGATTTACAAGTTGACTGTCTGATCTCCTAATAAGCTGGTGAAAATATGCCACTGCCAGGTGTGTCTGCTTCCAGACCACACCCAGAGTGTATTCTAAGAGCTGTATTCTAATCATTCATTCTCAATGCCATCTGTACATTATGTTTTGACTTTTGACTTTGGTCTTAGGCACTTGTTGGGAATTTTGTACTAAAGCCTGAATCAACAGCCAAATTTTAGCTTCAAGTCTTTGAGCAACTACATTAGGAGGGGGAAATTAGCTCCTTTGCAACTCTGGGTGTGTGTACCAGCTTTCTATTACGGTATCAAATATAATATCCGACACCATAAGTGTGTAGAGAGGAAGGGCATATTTTGGCTCATAGTTTTGGAGGTTTGGCTCCATGATCAGGCAGGCCAGTAGTTTCAGGCCTCTTAGAAAGGACAGGTGGCAATGTCAAAAAGCTTCTGGCAGAACAAAACAACTCATTTCATGGTTGGGAAGCAAGACGCAAAGAGACAAGAGAAACAGGCTCCTGTAATTCTCTTTGGCAGCATGCTCCCAGTAACCCAAACAGCCCCAACTCAGCTCCACTCTGAAAGGTTCCATCACCTCCAGGGAGCACCAAAATGGGGCTCAAGCCTTTAACAAGTGAGCATTTGGAGAATACTTCAGATCCAAAATATAGCAACCAGTGTAGGGATGATGAAGCATCCTTAGCTTTTGCTATTGACATTTTGTACTAAATTAGGAAGAAGTGTGTTTTGTTAATTATTGAAATTTAAAAATTTTCATTTTAATCATGTTGCATTGTGATTTTTAATTTAAAATGCTTCCAAGTATTCTATTTTACACACAGTTTTAATCTGAAATATATACAAATGTTCATTTTATAGGTGATGATTAAGTTTAAGATAATCTGATGGGCATAATTTGTCTTCTACTTTTGTTTATTTCATTTTAAAAATTCTTTTTTAGGTTAGCACACACAGTCTTGGGTTTTTCCTGGGATCTTTATGCATGTGTCATTGATTTTGTTTTTCATCATTCCCCTCCCATAATCCACTGTTCTATTTCCTATCTTCCTTGAGACTTCTTTTTGCCTTCCCATGATATGTTCTATTTTTATGTATTTGTGTGTGTGTGTGTGTGTGTGTGTGTGAACAAAAGACCTTGGCCAGAGGCCCACTTCCCCATCAGCCTGGGAGCAGGCAGCTGTAAGATAATGTTTACTAAAAACATGTTTACTGAAAACAATCCGGTATCCATAAGAAATGTTTACTGGAGCAATAAGTTCCTGATAAGGGCTTGCCCACAGGAACGCCCTGACCTTGACCTTTTCCAAAGACTAACAGCCTCTTCCTGACCCACCCACCGTCACTGCCTCTGGTGTCATTTGGGAACCTTCTTGAGGAGCCTTCTGGAAGCCATGGACGGGTCTCTGTGTCGTCAATCCCGACACCCTCCACACATTCTCTGATACAGGCTGCGCAGCGGGCGCGGCATGTGTGTGTGAGTGCACATGCTTGCATGCCATAGTGTGCACATAGAGGTCAAAGAATAACTTGCAAGAGTCAGTAATCTTCTTCCACTATGTGGGTCCTGGGGGTTGAACTAAGGACATCAGTTTTGTCAGCAAGCATCTTTACCTGCTAAGCTATCTAGGTGACCCTAATTTCTAGGTTTTCAGTACTTGCTCAAGTGCATTGATAGTTTCCTGTTTCTTAGGGTGCCCTATCTGGAATTAGAAGAGGTTGAAAGTTCTCAACACAAATGCTAGATATTTAAAAATATTAAAATGCTAATAACCCCATTTGATCATTGCACAGTATACATGTCTATTGAGTTATCACACTGGAAACACCCTGGAAATGCATACAATTATTATGCATCAGGTTACAAAATGATCTGTGGAGATGTTTGGATTTAAAGGTTGGAAGGTTAAAGCCTGACAAAAATGAAGAGATGAAAAGGCATCCCAGGAGAACAAAAAGAGACTGAATGCATTTTTTTTTACCATCTAAAGAATGGGATCATCTGATAGATTGCACAAACAGATCTTTTAGTCAGTGAAACCTTTGAATCATTGTGCAAGGCTCCCATTGACTCCACTTAATTACATGCAATATCCTTCCCCACCCTCTTGGCTTAACTCTGCTCAAGGGTAGAAATGCAGTTAATACTTCCATACTCTGCTAGTCTCTGCTGAAGGCTGGTTTTTCACTGACTTCATGATTATAGTATAAGCAAAAGATTATGATAAAAAGTGACAAGGTCTGTCTTCATTCATCTCTATGAAGTGTTATAACCTTTAGCATATGACCTTTTTAATGGATTTGAGAGAGAGAGAGAGAGAGAGAGAGAGAGAGAGAGAGAGAGAGAGAGAGAGAGAGAATGTGTGTGTCCTGATAGTATCTCTCTAGGCAAGGACAGGGATACTAGTAAGGGAAGTAGAATCTCTCTCTCTCTCTCTCTCTCTCTCTCTCTCTCTCTCTCTCTCTCTCTCTCTCTCTCTCTCTCTCTGTGTGTGTGTGTGTCAGAGAGAGTAGAATATTATGTTACACACTCACAAAACACCAAATTAATTGCTACTAGTATTTGAACGGCACTTCATAGCTTCCATAGTGTTTTCACAACAGTTTCCTCTCTTACTTCTTATAACAGTCCTATAAAATTACCCACTGTGTAAGAAAGAGAATGAAAACTCATAAAATGATTTAGTTAAAATCAAACCATTGGTGATGGAGCAAGGACACCAGTGTGCTTTACACCTGAAGCAATCCTGGGAGCCATTTCTCCAGCTCCTTATATTTGCCGTATGGCTAGCATGGAGATAGAAATCTTGCATCAAATCCGGGCGTTGGTGGCGCACGCCTTTAATCCCAGCACTTGGGAGGCAGAGGCAGGCGGATCTCTGTGAGTTTGAGACCAGCCTGGACTACCAAGCGAGTTCCAGGACAGCCTCCAAAGCCACAGAGAAACCTTGTCTTGAAAATCCAAAAAAAAGAAGAAGAAAAAAAAAAAAAGAAATCTTGCATCAGGTCTACCAAACACATTGGAATCATCAGAGTTTCATATTTCTCTCAGCTTGAGCAACTTTCTGGTAAAAATGTGAAACCTGTGACTTTGTACTTTTGGGGAACTGATCCATCTATGTGGATTGTAACAACACACTTTTACAATGGTGCTGGGTAAAACAACATGCTTAATTCTCCTTAGACTTTTGCAGACTCACAAACAACATTAGCAGACTGAGGTATTTATCATCCTTTAGACTAAGATGCTTTTTGTCTGATGCTGATTTACAAAAATTTAGTCTTGGAGATTTCAGTCCATTACCATCCCCATGTAGCTTTGGGTGTGTGGTGAGGCAGCATATCATGGCAGATATGTGTGGAATAAGCAAATCATTAACATATATGGGTATGAAAGAGAGACAGGAAGAGGGCAGCATCCTTTGAGAGCATGTTTTCATGGACCAAAATTTCTCATTAGACCTTACCTCTTAAAGATGACACTTATCCCAATAGTGCCGAGCTGGTGAATAAATAAGCCTTATCACATGGGCCTTTAAAGGACATTCCAGATATGAACTATAGCAACTGGTAAGAGCTCTTCAGCTTTAATTACTTAGTTCTTTCAGAATGAGAACATTCTGCTACTCTACTGAACAGTATGTGCCAAGAAGTTGCTTAGCAAACCAAATGGTCTTGGCATAGAAACAACTTCAAATGTGCGGCCAGGGTTCAGCACAGAGACAGATGAGACAAACTTTAACATTTGAAAGAATCCCAACTTTTTAGACAATAAACCGATGTAAGCCCCACAGGTATTAGGACACTAAGGTTAAATCTGTGATATAAAGCAAAGAGAAGAGCACAAATCAAAAGGAAGGAAGCACATTAAAATATTGTAGGACTTTGAACTTGTAGCCTTCCTAAGAATAAGATCATTAAAGAAACCATAAGGAACAGATTTGAAAGTTTGGGAAAAGTTAAAAATCTGCATGTCAGAAAGCATAAATAAAATCAGGATACAAATAATATCTGAAGCAAAATATGCCTATAGTAAAATGCTACTCCTTTTGTTTTGAACAGGGTCTCACTCTGAAGCCCTAGGTGACATGGAACTTGCTATATACACCAGGCTGGCCTCAGACTCACAGAGATCCATCCACCTGTCTCTGTTCCCAAGTTCCAGGATTTAAAGTGTGTGCTACCATACCAAAACCATATGATTATTTTTTTCCAGTATTTGTTGTATTTGTGTGTGCAAGTCTATGTGAGGTTATGTGCACCCATGGGTATTGCATGCATGCACATATGTGAGTGTACAGACAGAAGCCAGAAAAGGGCATCTGATTCCTTGGAGCTGAAGTTATATGTGTTTGTGGAATAGCCTGCTTGCTATATGCATGCTGGAATCCAAACTCTGGCCCTTAACACTGAGCAACAAGCACTCTTAGTCGCTCATCTCCAGCTGTGATATGTTACTCTGAACACAGAAAATATGCAAAAGGCACATTCACAAATAAAGGAATATGTTGGGACCTGTATATGGAAGTCCATTCCATCTTGCCACAAGTTCAAAAAGCTCAAAATCATTCCTGTTGTCCAAGACATTAACAGCTGTAAGGATGTCCTGGCCTCAGTAGTAAATGGTTCCTATCTATGAAGCACCTGATGGCCAAGTAGTAAGTGCAGATACTACGGAGTGTTTTTAGGATTAAGGGAAGTAATTTCTTTCTTTCCTTCTTTCTTTCTTTCTTTCTTTCTTTCTTTTTTTTTTTTTTTTTGGTTTTTCGAGACAGGGTTTCTCTGTAGCTTTGGAGGCTGTCCTGGAACTCACTTTGTAGTCCAGGCTGGCCTCGAACTCACAGAGATCCGCCTGCCTCTGCCTCCCGAGTGCTGGGATTAAAGGCATGTGCCACCATCGCCCGGCCGGGAAGTAATTTCTATCTGCCCTTTATACATGATAATAGAAGTCTTCTGCCATTGCCCCCACCTTTGGTTGGTTACTTAAGATGATGTGTGAATAAACAGAGGTGCATTCAGTGTGGACTGAAACTGCCCTCCTGACACTATCCTATGTCTCCGTCTTTCCTTTAACATCTATAACTAGTCTTTCCCTCATCCACATCCCCCCACTCAGGAATGGACCTGGGATGCTCAGCTGGTCCTGACATCAGTCACGACAGGAATGCAAGTATCTGGCAAATACACTGGGAAGTGTTCATCACTCAAAGTCAAAGAAGTGCACCTAGTCAAAAAAGTCACAGAGACATTTTTTTGCCTGCTTAGGTTGGTTGGGGGCATACTCAATGGTAAATAATACTGGTAGAAGTGCAAGTTTTATGGAGATAAAAAATTATTTCCTTGAGTTTAGCTGGATCTATATTAGGACTATTAACTTTCAAAGCATTTGCTTTTCTTCTTGAGCTGGGGGATATACTATGCTTCTGCTTTGGAAAATTGGTTTTAAACAGATTTGTTTTCCCCGAATCAATTTTTGTTTAATGTAATCCCAAGTACACTGACAAAGTGATTTAAACTTTCCTTTTATATTCTGAGTTAGGTGTTTTCTTAGGTTGCATAAAATTTTATGATGGGAGAGATAGGAAATAAAGTCAAGAAGACTGAAAGAGAAGCAACAGGTAGGAAAAGCTGTATACGGTGTAATGTTAATTTGCATTATAAAACCACACACTCTAAGGATGATTCCAAATGGAGTACACAGATGGGACAGACAGATGAAACTTAGTATATGTGAGAATCTAGTGTGTGATTAAAATGGAGAAAAA